AGTCAGTAATTAAATGAGCACAAATCATTATAAATTTTAAACAGGTGACCTTCATTCAAGAAAAAGTCACAGTTCACGGGTAGATGTGTAGTAATGATTACATTGTAAGCTGGCTGCATAAGAGATATTTTGTTTTGAAGTTTATTTTTGATTAATGGATAATCATATAGGCTTTAATTTAAAATATTAAACAAACCCGTTTTTTTATCTGGTCAGTGTCATACCAAGTGGTTAACGATGCAAGGAAAGTGTTTAGCTGGATGGTTATATGTGACATTGCCCAGACTCCACTCTGCTAAAAGATGCACATGGTATAGAAAAGATTTATGAAGTCATTGTGACTTTCAAAAGTAAACAAAGTTGAGATGGTTCAAGAGGGCCTATTATCGAGTACTGCGATTGTTCTTATGAGTTGCCAGATAATTGTTTATTCTAATGGTCTTTCTCTTCACACAGAGGGATAAAGCTGACCTCGGGGACTCTGCTTTCTTTCTTCTCTCGTTTGACTGCTCAGATGAGTGGTGGGTTTTTTTCCTTGGCAGATTATTTTAGAACCCAAAATTTGTAATTCCCTTTTAAGAATCTGTTGCCACTAAGGTAACTTAAATTCTTTTTTTAAAAAAGAATTTTTAAAATTTAAAAAAAAAATCCACTTATGGATTTAAAGGTTTTTTTTTTTTTTTTTAATATTGAAAAGTTAGGGATTGGTGATGCAGCAGCTCACTTACTCAGAGCTCTTGGTCAAGGGGATGCCCGAAGCTCAAGATCTGGGACCAGTTTGGGCAATGAAGCAAGACCCTGTCTCTCTTTAAAGAAAAAAATCATATTGTAAAACATTTGAGTAAGAGTTATTTTAGGACCTGAGACCCATTGGCAGAACCAAGCCTCTGGCCTAGGAAGCTGCCTCTAGAAGGGGTGCAGTGAGTCTTTATTTCTGTACCCTACTGGAGAGTCTCAAAGATTAATCAAATGACAGACTGAAGCAGACTAGCATCTGCTTTGAAGGCTCCAAGCTTAGAGGTGATTTTTTTGGTTTGAGGATTATCTCATTTCCCTATGGTATTGAACCTAAGATGCTTTCTTTCTAAGCCTCCTGAGCCCAACCCATTCCATCCCCACCTCTGACCTCTACCTGCTTCATAACCTCAGGCATGAATCACAGTGAGTATGAAGCTGGGCGGTGGTGGCGCACGCCTTTAATCCCAGCACTTGGAAGGCAGAGGCAGGCGATCTCTGTGAGTTCAAGGCCAGCCTGGTCTACAAGAGCTAGTGCCAGGACAGGCTTCAAAGCTACAGAGAAACCCTGTCTCGGAAAAAAAAAAATTACGTAAAAATATTTGTAGCTGTTTTTCCTGCATGTATATTTGTGGGGGTGTGAGTGTGTGTGTCCAGAGGCTAGAAAGGGGTGTCAGATCCTCTGGAACTGGAGTTAAAGACAGTTGTAAGCTGTCATGTGAATGCTGGGAATTGAACCCGGGTCCTCTGGAAGAACATTTAGGGTTCTAAACTGCTGAGCTATCTCTCCAGTCTCAAGGAGATCTTTTTGAAACACAAATATGAACCTGTTTTCTTTTCTGTGTGCCCTTCACCAGTATTAAGTAGCTGGTCACCTCATCTGACTCAGCCTGATTTTCTATCAGGCGTCTTTTTCTTCCTGATATACCACACTGTCTGCTAGAACACTCTCTTGTTCCCCGCTCACACCAGAGCCAAAGGACAGGTAGTCTTCAGCCACTTGTTTCCTCCACATTTATTCTTTCAACAAACCGCTAGATGTTGGGATCACTCAATGATACTCAACCTAGAAGGAAAACACACTTAAATCTGAGTTACTATTAGATAGGGACAAATTGTCATAGATACACAAAGTAATGTTTAGTAGTAGAGTCCAGGAGGAGGTGACACAGACACAGGGCTGGGTCTTGTCAAATGAATGAACATGTTTAGAGAAGAGAAGAGTATTCTGGAAGGAAATAAAGGCCTGGGGGTGGGAAATGGTAGGGTAAGTCTGAGAAGTTGAGATTTACCATGGAACTCAAGCTTTTGGGCACTTAACAACAAAAGGGAGATCCCTGTCTCCAAGGGGCTTTCTCTGAGCCCAAACTTGGCAGGAACTAAGAGCAAGCCAGGCCCCCTCTGCCCTGCAGGTGCTCTTCCATCCAAGAAGTTTCTGGGTTGGGGCTGTTGGCACTCCCTCCCACTCTGGCGGGTGGCATCCCAGAAGGAAAGAGGCAGGGGAGGAAGCAGATAAGAAAGACAGCTTCTGTTTAGACACAAATATCTTGGTGATCAGCACAGATGGGATGAGAAATACCAAAAAAAGTACATGACAGTTTAGAAAGAATTTGGCTAAATGTTACATATTTTTAACATACCTGTGTAGGGTTTTTGAATCAAGCACCTGAGTCACTCAGATTTTGACTGGGAATAGGGGCCTGCTGAAGTCAAATGGTGTCTTATTTCAGGAACAGACCCTTCTCCATCCACAAAAGGATCCGTGTGTGTGTGTGTGTGTGTGTGTGTGTGTGTGTGTGTGTGTGTGTGTGTTTTCCTCCCACCAAAATAAGGCACAGGATTTGTCTCTGATGCTGTGTCTCCCTATTTGGACGGCAAGCTGTGTAACATATTTCTCCTCAGCGTGAAGCTTCTTGGCAGACTCTTGAGGCCACGTTTTGGTGGCTTCAGAGTTATCTTTGGATCTGTCAAAAGTGCTAATGGGCTTTCTGGCCTTCTTTAAGCTCCTCATTTCTATTTTCTTGTTACTTCCATCCTCTTCTAAAAGAAAAATTTCTATAATTTATCAGCAGTTAAGCTCTTTCTGAAATGCTCAGCTGAGGGCCTCGTATTTGTGAGGACTCTGCAGTGTCACTGTTTCTGGAACAAACCCCACCCTGACATCATTAGCTCAGCGTTCCTCAGTCCACTGGGCAGAGAAATGCTTCTTGCCCAGATCCATCCGCCTTTAGTGCTCATTTTTATTTTTCCATGGAGTTTGTTAGGAGGCAAGCTGATATGGCAGTTAACAGATAAACTTCAGATTCAAGAGAACTGCTCTTGGCTCTTCCCTGCTTACTGGGTGATCTTTAGAAGCAGCTAAGACTTTCCTAGCTGTAGTTTCTCCGTGTAGACATGGCACTGTCTACCTAAAGGTTATTAGGAGGAATAGAAAGAACACAGATAAGGCACACTTGGCCTGACATATAAGGATTCTGTTGTAAGGAGGGTGCCTCTGCTTGTTAGTTCCCCACTGCCTGGCTAGCTTAGACCCGAAATAATCACAGAAACTGTATTAATTAAATCACTGCTTAGCCCATTAGCTCTAGCTTCTTATTGGCTAACTCTTACATATTAATTTAACCCATTTCTATTAATCTGTATATCACCACGAGGTCATGGTTTTAGCAGGTCTGTCTCCGGCTGCTCCATGGCTTCTCTCTGATTCCACCTCCTTCCTCCCATGCTGTAGGCCAAGCCAGTTCTTTATTCATTAATCAGTAAAAGCAACACATAGACAAAAGGACCTCCCACATCAGGATTCCTCTATAAATAGGGGTTTCCTTTCCTTGTATATATATTTTCTCTTGTTTTCCTTACACTCAATATTTTTTGAACATAATATTTTAACTTTTACCTTAAAAGTGCTATATTATTAAACCTTAGACTGAATCTTCTGTTGTCCGCTTATCATGTGACCTTTGCTACATTACATCACTTCTGTACTTTTGTTTTCCATCTTTAAATAGAGAAAGGTTCAAGGAATAGATTTAAGGTTAAGAAAAGTGACATGTGTAAAGCCTCATCATGGTAAAGTGAGTGAGCGATATCTAGGAGACACAGTGTAGGGGAGGACGCAGTGTATAATGCTATCAATCCGCTTGCTCTTTATTTGTGAACTTTGATGGTTAGCCTGATACTCTGGTCAAACAGTAATAAATCATGACATAAGTGCTCATTCTTATTTATCTTCAGCCATAATATTGTTGAGAAGTACTTTATGCTATTTTGCATATAAAATTACTGGTGTACTCAAATTATGTGTTGTAGATCTTTAATTGTGATAAACTGCCACTCATGGCACCAGCTTCCTTCTCTCTCATTTCCTGAGAGTTCTATTGAACAGCATTAAAAATCTGTAACATTAAAAATTAGCATAATGTCAGGTAGATGTACAAGGGGTTATAGAATGAAATGCTCTCCATTTCCCTGCTAAAATCTGAAGAGTCCTAATCCATAATGCTAATTAAAAGAATAAAACCCAGGTTACAGGGGAAAAACAAAAGCAGGTTAAAATAAAGCAATTGTCACAACTTGTTGCTGTTTATCTTATGGTTCCCCCCTTTTGAGTGAAATACAGTATCTACATTTCCCTCCTTTCGAGTAAGTTTTTGAAATTGCTTTAATTCTACCAGAACCATTTTGGGGAGTGTATGCTATGGATACCAGCAGAAAGGATGAGGCAGGTAATGCCCTGCTTTTGTGCTATAATCTACTGTGTTACTGTGTTGACACAGGACCTGTGCCAGAAGCTTGGGCTTTTTTTTTTTTTTTGCTTGGCTATATGACATGGTATCTCGGAAAATTTCTAGGGCCTAGGGTCCAAAGATCAGAGGAGAATCCTATCTTCGTTGCTTATTAGACCATTTGATCTTGGAAATTTTCCCTCAGACTGAGTCTCTTCATTTTTGAGATTGCAGAATTCCTGTGCTTCTTTGGGAGCAACATGAAAAGCAAACACAGTGTTGTGTATGACCTCGAGTTGTAACCCATAATCACCACACAAGGATGCAGTTGCTCAGGGTACTCATCTCCAAGGCCTCTTTGAACTTTGCATTTCATGATTTCATACATGATTAGAGAGCTTGGGTTCCCAGGTAGAAGTGGGACAAGGGAAGAGTACACATGCCTTCTGATTATTTGCAGTTTCTCCTGCTTTTATGAAATACTTTTGTAATGAGAACAAACAAAATAAGCCACAAGCCTTGCTTTCTTCTTTCTCCTAGAGAAATCTAACAGAATATTTTGTGGCTGTGGATGTGAACAACATGTTGCATCTGTACGCCAGCATGCTGTATGAGCGCAGGATCCTCATCATCTGCAGCAAGCTCAGCACTGTGAGTAGACCGTCCGAGACAGCTTTGCAGTCACCTAATTTTAATTGTAAGATTATATCGGCAAGATTAAAGACAATTTTAGGGAAATGAATCAGCCTCATTCCCCTCATATGGTAATACCACTGTCATTAATCATTCATTCATGTCCCTTTACTGTGTCAAAACCCATCTCATTTATTCTTGCAGTCTCATGATCAATTATAGTTTTTCTCTTGATTGTACATTGTGAACATAGTGCCTATCTCCACATAAGCTTATTTTTGTTATTTATTTAAAATACTGGCACTGTATTCCATTGTAGTGATGTAGTCATGGTTCACTAAAGTTTCCTTCTCTTGTTGGTCATTTAGGTTGTCCATAAATAAATTCTCTAGTAGATGGGGTCTGCCAGATTGTTTCCCCAGAAGGCTTGGGCCTGTGTACAGGGAATGTTGTCATTTGTGTACACTTTCACTACAGCTTTTGCTAGAACTGTCTGTGTCTTTGTATGTATTATCTGTGTGTTTGTGCTACATTTTAATCCTGCAATAAAAATATGTAAAAATGATATGGCAAGTTTTAATTTTGATATATTTGGTTAGAAGTAACTATTGTCCATGAGTTTATTTCCTGTGTGTATTTTGTTAATATTTTCCCATTTACCTCAAATGTTTTTTGATGATTAGTTCTGTTTTGTGAGATTTTTAACAATTGTGTGATGTGTGTGTTTACATGTTTAGAAATGAATGTGTACATGCGGGTATACATGCATGCGTGTTTACATGCTTGTAGAGGCCCAAGATTAATGCTAGGTAGTTTCCTCTACCTCATATGTTGTTTGTTGAACCTGGCACTCGATGTTTAATCAGGGATTCCCTGTCTCATCTTCCTGCCTACTAAGACGACTGAAAAGCCACTATCCCACCTGTCTATTTTAAGTGAGATCAGTAGATCTGAGTTTCAATTCTCACACTTACAGGGCAGGTGCTTTACCCACTGAGTCATCTCTCAAAAGCCTGGTTTTGTCTGTTTGAGAAAGAGTTGTTGCTTTATAATACAAACTGGTCTTGAGCTCACTGTGAAGCCTAAACTGGCTTAAAATTTATGGGCTGGCAGTGCTCCTACTTCAGCCTGAGATTCCAGTGTGGGCCACTATGCCTAGCCTGAGGTGTTTCTCATAAGTTAGAGTGAGTCCTTTGTGCATTGTATTACTAATATACGTTTAACGTAAGGTTTTCTTATTTATATTTGCATTTTTTTCACCTGATAAAGTATGGTTGGCTAATCTTATGAAAGTTCTCAAGTAAACATTCCAGAAGATTGAAATCACTTCATAGTAAATACGAACATTAGATCATCTAGTCACTGGTAGTAATTTACTGAAGCTGCTTTCTCATGTTTATTCACATAGTCAATATGTAAGCTTGGTCAACATGTGTATGTGCTCACATAACCTGTGTTTAGAGTCCAGAGAGTATCTTTGGGATCTTTCTCAAGCTCTTTATATACTTTTTTTTTTTGAGACAGAATCTTTTCAAACCCAGAATCACGAACTGATTCTAAAATGAATATGGAAAAGGCAAAAGAAAGAACCAAAAACATACTTGAAGAAAATGAATGGATTGTGATAGCTTGCTTTAGTAAAGCTTGCTGTAAAGCTATATCCACCGGTCTGCTGTGGTAGTGGTTGCATTCTGAGAATGTAGGCATGCTAATGGCACAGAATAGAGACTCAGAAAAAGCCCACATGTATACAAAACTCTGTAAGTCACCAAGGAGGCTCTGAGCTGTCTATCACAATTAAACACATTTCAGTATTAGCTATCCATTTGAGGAAGGAAAAGAAGACAGTGTCTATTTTACTTGTGCAATTCCAAATGAATTATAGTTTAAATATGAGTGAATCCAGCATGCCAAGGAAACCCTCCATCAATGAGATGCACCCCATCCCATGTTCAGTCGTCAACTGGATTAAAGTCCACAGTCTCTTCTACAGAGTATCAGTAATTGATACCATGTTGAGGCCATGTGGCCATCGTTGAAGTTGGACTCTGACTTTCTCAGTACTGTAGGTAAACTAATGACTGAGACTGACTTCCAACAGTAGGCCACACTGGGTCTTATCACTGTATGTTACTGATCCCTGGGTTAGGTGGCAATTTTTGGTGTCTTAAGTTGTTTTCTTTAACATTTGCATGTACGGTGTCCTTATTTTTATATGGATCTATTTCAAAAGTTTTATCTAAAAAAGGAATATGCCAAGCCCAAGAGATAGAGACAGAGTAGTTCCTGTACAAAGGTTAATTTGATTCTTAAATCAGTGGTGCCTAAGGTTTTACAACCTGGAAGTGAGAAGATAATAAAGCAGTTTCAAACTCCTAACCCAGAGTTCTATATCCGTCTAATGAAAACCATAAGAGAGTCCAACTGCCTTGCCACACCTTCAACACCTGAGGTCTACAGTCTGTACTATGCCCTCCCTTGTGGACAAACTGTTTGCCACACTGCATGTGCAGATGAATTTGTTCCACAAAGTATTTCCATAGTCAACATCAAACAGAAAATCCTGATTTCCTGATTCTTGGATGAGTATAGGAGACCCTAAATCAGACCATACACTACATGTATGGCCCAGTGGCTACTGAGAAGGACCCAAGAGTATGAAGAGCTGAGGAGAGAGTAGAGATGAGTGAGGAGGGATCAGAATTTTATTTTAATTTGAGAAACACCTTGTTGGGAAGGTTCTTCTTCTTCTTTTTTTTTTTTTTTTTTTTTGGTTTTTCGAGACAGGGTTTCTCTGTGGTTTTGGAGCCTGTCCTGGAACTAGCTCTTGTAGACCAGACTGGTCTCGAACTCACAGAGATCCGCCTGCCTCTGCCTTCCAAGTGCTGGGATTAAAGGCGTGCGCCACCACCGCCCGGCTGGGAAGGTTCTTCTTAGTGCCATGTTGTGCTGTCTCCATGCCACCTCAAAGAAGTGTTCCACAGAGAAGCAAGAGCATAGGCTCCACCCAGTCTTTTGTTTCTCCTCCTCTGCTGGCCCTTTCTAAAGTGCATACCAACATGATATAGTGACTCCTAAATCATAAAAACAAAGCATGGCCCAGGGAGAGGGCTCAGCAGGTAAAGCTATTTGCTGCCAAGTGTAATGAACTGAGTTCAATCTCTGAGACCCACATGATAGTGAAGGAAAGAACCTACTACTGCAAGTTGTCCTCCAACCTTCATGTGCACATCTTCATGCACACACACATAAATAAATGGAACCTTTTAAAAAGATAAACAATTTTCTTTGAACCTCCACTTCATCCCATTTATATTCCTTCCTTTACCCCTTTTTGTATTCTCCCCTTTCGAACAAAATTCCCATTTTCTGTCTAGACCCTCTGCTCCCATTTTCTCCTTGCCATTTTACTGAAATAGCTTTTGTTTGAGCCACTAATGACCTCATGTTAGTAAAATTGAAATACTTGCAAAACTCTTAGAACATGGTCTGGCATGTAGTATGTGTACATGTTTCTGATAAATAACTAAATATTTTAATGAGAGATCAGTTTCAAATCAAAACCAAGAAGTGATTATTTAGAAACAGGAATGTTAATTCTGTGTGGTTTAATTAAAGGTAAGGACAAACATGAAGTGGACTATTGCTAATGTTCCAAGCATGCATTATTTTGACTGTTGGGGGTGGTGATTGTGGGGTTTTGTTTGTTGACAGAGCTCTGTGATTGACTCCCCTCTTTCTAGAAGATGGTGTTCTGCTCCCAGCCAGAAGGCACTCAGTAGTACCAGCATCCTCATCTGCTTTATGGGGTGTCTCTGGGGTCGAAGGAACTGAGCAGGCAGGAATGGGTTCAACCCTTTGTCTTTCCAGATTCAGAATTTGAGGGTCTTGCCATCATTACCTCTGACTCCCTCCAGCATAGCTTTTACTTAACTCAGAGATCAGACAGCTGTGAAGACTGTTTCCACCTGAGGTGTTCTGAGGATCCTCTTGGAAGAACCTGATGTATCTGTAATACTCCAACAAACCACATTCTCTATTTTGCCTGATAAGATATAGCTTAATGCTTCTCAGAACTATTGAGGACCTGAAAGATAAAGGTTATGGAGCATTCCAGAATACATCTGTAAAACAGACTGTGTGTTGTAGACAAACCTCCACACTACTTATTTTAGATAATACATATGTATTCCAGGTTGTCCTGGTCAATAATATTGTGATATTCTGTATAAGATAAATGTAAGTTTTTGTTCTCTTTGCTCAGTTAATGTTTATTGATTGTTTTCCTTTATAAATGATAAATAGGGAAAGCTTTGCTAAATCTTGTACTCTGATTTCTTGGAACACAAAGATGCCATTTTTCTTCCACATTTTCACATCCAAGTTTAACTCATTGGTTTTTGGAAATAATTGTGGATAGCTAATATATCAAAGATAGGAATGTTTTAGAAATAAGACCTTAAAATACTACCATCATTCCAAGTATTTAGAATTATTCCCATTTTACAGAGCGTCTGTCCATTTGGGAAGGTGAAAAAACTTGCCTAAAGTCAGTACATTAGTCAGACATGAGAAAGAGCCACAAAATAGATCATGATGCTGTATGTAGAAGGAATCTTCTGGGAAGGAAGAAACAGCCAGAGATGATACACACAAGAGAATCTCAGTCCCTTCAAAATTCTTATCTTTGTCACCAGGTTATGTTGATTGGGACTGTTACACATTATAACCCTGTGTAGGAGCTATCACTAGAACCAGAGAAAAGATGTTAGAGTATCCACCCCACTAAGAAAATCAGGAAACACTGTTTGTAAAAAGATAAAATAATAAGAACTGGTGGATGAGGTGACTGGTTGAGCTGGTGATGCTGATTTGAATGAAGAATAAGGCCAGACTACATAGTAATTAGAGTTTCTTCTATAGCTCCAGGGTACCTGAATAGGACACAGGTGGCATCTGCAGAATAAATGTCTATAACACCTTCATGTAGACCCATGCTCAGTTCTTCATAAGGCAGA